CTTCTGTTACTGGGGCAGTGCGGCTGGAGCTCTTGCCAGTGGAGACTGAGGCAAAGAAGTCATTGAGAACCTCAGCCTTCTCCATATCCCAGGTGACCAGGTCTCCCGTTTTCTTCCAGAGAGGGACCACGTTTTCCCTAAATCTCTTTTAATCACTGACATATCTATAGAAGCTTTTCTTGTTGCCCTTGATTTCCCTGGCCAGATTTAACTCTGTCAGGGCTTTAGCTTTCCTGACCTGATCTCTGGTTGCTCGGACAATCGCTCTGTATTCTTCCCAGGCCGCCTGTCCTTGCTTCCACCCTCTATAGGCCTTCTTTTTGTGTCCAAGTTGGTCCAGGAGCTCCTTGTTCATCCATGCAGGCCTCCTGGTGTTCCTACCTGACTTCTCTTTGTTGGGATGCACCGCTCCTGAGCTTGGAGGAGGTGATTCTTGAATGTTGACCAGCTTTCTTGGGCCCCTCTTCCCTCCAGGGCTTCATCCCATTGTACTCTACCGAGGAGATCCCTGAAGAGGCCGAAGTCTTCTCTCCTGAAACCCAGGGCAGTGAGCTTGCTGAACGCCCTCCTTGCCTCCCTAAGAACCTTGAGCTCCACCATTTCATGGTTACTGCAGCCAAGGCTGTCCTTGAGCGTCATGTTCCCCACCAGCCCCTCTTTGTTGGTGAGAACAAGGTCCAGCAAAGCACCTCTCCTTGTTGGTTCCTCTACCACTTGGAGAAGGAAGTTATCATCCATGCCTTCCAGGAACATCCTGGATTGCCTATGCCCTGCTGTGTTGTCCCTCCAACAGATATCGAGGTGGTTGAAGTCCCCCATGAGGACCAGGGCTTGTGAATGTGAGGCTGTTCCTATCTGTCTGTAGAGGGTCTCATCCGCTCAGTCTTCCTGGTCAGATGGCCTGTAGAGACCCCTGCTACCATGTCCCCTGCCCTCCCTTTAATCCTCGCCCATAAGCTTTGAGTTGGGACCTCATCCATCCCGAGATGCAGCTCCATGCACTCCAGCTGGTCTTTGACATAGAGGGCAACACCTCTTCCTTGTCTTCTCTGCCAGTCCGTCCTAAAGAGCCTCTATCCTTCCATTCCGACACTCCAGTCATAGGATTCATCCCACATCATCTCAGGATTTTGTGCTTGACATGGCAGATTTCTTTCTACTGTCTTCTATCACAGCTCCTGACTCTCTTAATTTGTTGGTTTTGTTTTTTTTTTTTTCATTTCTGTCCCCAGTATCCATGAGTACCGACTGACTAGCTGGCTGGGACAGCAGGAGGACATTCACCGCATTGTACTCTACCAGGCAGACAGCACCCTTACTCCATGGACGCAGCGCTGCATCCGGCAGGCCGACTGCATCTTAATCGTCGGGCTGGGAGACCAGGAACCCACTGTTGGAGAGGTGTGGAAATAGCTCCTTCCCCTTTTTACACTGGTAACAGTCCAGATCAAAGAAGGTTGTTTCATACTCATGAATTTTCCTGGGTTTAATACCGAGTGAAGCATAAATAATGAAGTATTCCTGAGAAGTGTGTGTTATAAATAGAAAAAGAATTGGATGAGGATCCTCTGAAATGGCAAGTTTTATACAGAAGAACTTCCAGCTAGGTGGTTCTTCTCTAAAGAGTCATTTTGGCCAGTGGTAAATCCAAAGGCAAGTTGCTTTGAAGCTTTGCATTTTTGTTCAGAACTTCTTTGCAAGAGAGAGAGAGAAATTCTTTTCTGCCTGTGTGGAATTCATAGTGTGTGCCTAGGAAACGCAGATATAAATTGTATTTTATGAATAATTCAATATATTTTATTACAGATTGTAAGCTGTGGGTTTTTTCCTCTTCCTATCTATTTTTATGTGTGGTATTTTATTACCAACGTTGTTTGACCAAGCACATAAATCCTGTGTGAAATTTAAAAATGAGGTCACAAGTGGGTTTTTTAGGATTGTGAAGTGCTGAACCTGACCCCCAAAGAGCCTGGTGGGACTGTTACCATCTGCAGCGTTCCCGTATGTCACTTTGTGTTGGTTCTTCAGGACTGTATGTGGGAGGCAGGAAGCACAGTAAAGGCAAGACGCCATCAGTTGCTTTAAACAACAAAAAAATAAAAATAAGGAATGCAAGGAGAAAAAAAAGGGACTCATTGGAGGTGAAAGAACACAACGTGCTGAATATTTGTAGGCTTGACTATGACTTGGGAAGCAATCTCATTTTGCATGAATGGGGTGTGTCTGTGCTGGGCATTTAATAGTCTATGTTTTAGGTAAAAAACCATTCATTTTTAAGCATGCAGGTTTGAATCCTTGTCTGGTTTTGAGGGTTCTGGATGCCACGTAAGCCCACAGCTAACAGCAGAGTTGTCTCAATCAGTGTTGTTGAGGTCAGTCAGATGCGTGTGTATCTCTGCATCGATAGGGCGTTCTGTGAAAGTGCTCCTGGAGCAGTAAATACCTGACACCCCCATCCCTTTGGTGTGTGTCATGTGCTGCAGCTGGAGAAGATGCTGGAGAACACTGCGGTCCGAGCCCAGAAGCAACTCATTCTGCTCCATAGGGAGGATGGGCCTCTCCCTTCCCGCACCGTGGAATGGCTCAACATGCGGAGCTGGTGTTCCGCTCATCTTCATCTCCGCTGTCCGCGCAGAGTCTTTTCCAAAAGAAGCCTGCCCGATCTGGTAAGAGATTCCTGCTTTGGTGACTGGTCCATTAGCTGTCATACCTTACTTGTGCTCCATCAGTTAAAGGTCATCTGACATAATGGTATTCCGTGATATTCTGACGTGCAGCTGACTGTCGCACAGAGAGTGTTCTCTTTAAATCTTATAGGAAGTGTAGGGATAAGGGGCTCATGTCTTCTTCATGGATGCATAACTGGCTTGGCCGAAGACAGTCAATACTGTTTCAAGGTCATACTGATAGGTGTGGACATGCGGTAGTCCCTTTCGCTGGGAGAGTCCCCTGCCTTATGAAAAGCCTTCCTAAAGGTAAAGCAGAGGCAGACTTGGGATGCTTCCCAGTAACTTCAAACCCTTGTCAAGAAAGAGAAGTAGCTCTGAAGAAAATACGATGAAGTTCTCCCAGCTACTATAGGAGTGATGTGTATGATCGCTAGAACCGTTTGGACAGTTCATTAACCCTCTTCATTGGAAGAACAGCTGTCCACCTCTGAACGGTGCAGTGTTGGCTGGTGGAGGAGGCTCTACCCTGCCTTTAGAGTGACCATCTTCTGCCTCTCTCCTGCAGATAGAAGTGTACAAACGTGTATTCGAGAAACCGCCCAACCGGCACTCTGACTTTTCTCGCCTGGCGCGTGTTCTGACGGGCAACGCCATTGCGCTGGTCCTCGGGGGCGGAGGAGCGAGGTAAGTGGCTTCTCCTGGGCACGGTGGTGCGGGGCTACCAGATCCTAGAGTGCCACTGTCACAGTTCGGGATAACGGGCATCCTGTAAAATCAGCCTTCTTCTGTAAGCTGCGTTTGGAGGAGACGCTGAGGAGTTGGTTTTGTTACAGAGACTTAACCCGCTGTGGGGATCTGTGCTTGGATTTCTGCAGAAGGAACAAGAGTGTTTGTGACCCCTTGAGACTTCTCATAAGTTGAGCTTAATATCAGGAGACGACCAGGGCACTAAATATGACTTTTCTTTCTTTCGTTGGCCTACGCTATGGGTTTTTTTCCCCTATGGATTCTTACATTGGGAAATGGCTCGCAAGAGTTCAAAGGCCCCAAAACTTTTCAAAGTTTGAGAAGCAAGAGGAATTATGTCCTCTAATGGGCGAATGTTCTCTTCTTTATAGTCACCCAAAACCCCGGATACCAATACGTTTCTGACAGCCTTACTTTACAGAAAGATTGTATTTTTGCAGACGTGGGGGCAAGGTGTGTGCTGAACACTCGATTAGGATTCTGCCTGAATTCCTAGTGAGCTTTGGAAATAAATTATTACTGATAATTTTCGTTGGAATCCATTTTTACTTTGAGAGTTTTATGTTCAGACAAGCATAGAATTTAGTAGCCCTTTATCTCAAGAGAGCATCACCTTCATTGGCTTCATCACCATGTTCTTGAAGCCCCTCTTTAAGGCAGTGCTTTGAAATACTACTCTCAAAAAAACGCCAAACATATAATTTGCACATAGTCTGTCTGTTTAAATACGTGGAAATGTCATGTTTTTGTCTTTGGACCACTGCATGCTTTGGGGGTAGGGGCTGGAGCTCCTCTGTGACAGCTCGTTCTGATTAGTCACTTGATGCTGAGACAGCCAGCGCGGTGGCTGTTTCTTTGAGTGTCTGCAAAGAAGCCTTCATCCTGCTTGCTTTCACAGTTTCCTCACCTAAGATGATTTCAGTATTCCATTTCTGAGATAAGCACTATCCTGTGGAGACATAAAGTGAAGCAGAGGAGGGGAGTTTCTGCTTAATCTGAGTATCTCAGGCGGCTTCTAACTGACTAATGCAAAGCACTCGTGGGTTTTTTTTTTGTTACAAGCTGCCTGATATCTTTGTTTTTAGTGAAGCCTGTGTCATGCTAAAATATGTGCACTTCTATATTTCTGGCAGCACATTTTGCTCATTCCCTTCCTTTCTTCCTTCTGTAAACACTGCTGTAATTTTTGCCAAACTATTTATTTTTTTGTTCTACGACTTAATTTGCAAGCTACCACCTGCTGGTTTTCAAGAGCAGAGGTAAGAAAGAGCAGGATTATTGAGCCTGTTTGTTGGTCCTATGTTGTCCTCCTTCGCAAATCCGAACCTCTGCACTGCTACTGTGTTGGCTTTAGGATTTCTGGATGCTCACCACCCGTTCAGCAATGTGACCATGACCCATTAGCCATTAATTTGCTCATTTCTCCATCTATGCAATATGGAGGACTTGAAGAGGATTAAATGACAGAATGAATAAATAGGATAATTTCTTCTTTCTCTGAAACCTTATTTATGTCATGGACTAAAATGCTTTTTCTGGGAGCTCAGGCTGGCACATGGATGGTGTGAGCATTGTGTTTTCAATGGAAAGGTGCAAAATGCTATTTCTGTACTTGAGTTGTCATCTAAATTGTGGTTAGGTGAAAGATTTGGATTTCTTAAAAATTTGTTTTTGAAACGAGAATATTAATAAGACTTTGAGGAAAGGATGAAGTTACTCTGAACTCTGAAATCTGCTTCTGGAATGTTTGCAGGTCAAGGTGAGTTCTTAGGTCCCCATCTCTGCTAAGAAGGGGACTTCAAGGAGTTAAGCACTAGGTACTTAAAATCATCCTGTGATTAAAGCCCATTCCAGCTAAAAACATCTTGATGAGTCACTGCATGGACTCTTGATAGCGTAGCCTTGGGGTAGTACTCTACACGAAGTAACCTCCTACCTTGCTCTGGAAGCATGAATCATACTGGTCACAGAAACCAGAGCGAGCTGATAGTTACAGGGGACTGGCTGGTGGTTCTTTCTGTTAAAGGTATTGTGTTCCGTGACTCCAGTAATATCAATTATTTAGTTGTTATTTTGGGAATGTTTTTCTGGCTTCCCAGTGATAGTTGGTTTGGGAGGTTTTACCAGAGCAGCTTCCTAGTAATTATCTTTCTGGTTTGTCATGACAAAAGGCACATAGGAACTAAAGGTTTTCTTGCTCTTGTGAGTATAAAAATAAAACAAATCGAAGTGATACAGTTCTAAAATTATAGTGTTTTGCTTCTGTTAAGTGCTAACTTAATTTCAGTTATAAACATTGTGGAGTTTGAGGGAAGGAAAAGGGATTTGCATTTAGAAAAATAATGCCTTTGCAATGTAGCTGCAAGCATAATGACACATCAAACCCTGCAACAAAGGCATAAACCCTCCCATAAATCATTCTCATGACCTTTAGCCATCCCACGTACAGCCCACCCTTTCTTTGGTTTTCTATAGTTGTCTTAGCAAAGCTGCTTGGAAACTAAAATTTATAGGGAGTAAATAATACAGAAGTATTCCTGGGAATCCCTGGGGCTTTGGAAAAAAAAAATGGATCGTGCTGTTTCGGAAAACTGACTTAAGCAAAATTGTGATGACAAGCTTTGTTGTTAGTTATAATGTCGTTATTCTAGGAGTGAATTTGGTCCAGCATAGGCATAATGGGAAAACACAAAGCGTTCGCCCTGTTCCAGTTGGGCTGTTTTGATGGGAAGCTGTATTTCCAGACACAAATACGCGATGTGCACAAGATACGCTTGTCGAGTAGGAAAGAGCTACTGTTCAAAGCAGTTCCTTGGCTTTTTTGGATGTGCTATCAAAAATAAGGCAGAACAATCAGCTGCTGGATGCACGTGGCGCCGGAGACGTTTTCCAGCCGGCGTTTGCGGAGTCGGCGCGGCGTGGTGCCCGGGTGGCTGGGGCTGTGCGGCACGCGGCGCCGTTCCCTTCTCTCCTCTGCCCTTTCCTTCAGGCAGAGCATTTAGGCCCTCCCTGAGGAGCTGCTGTTGAAGGATATCTGTGGGTATTTCATCAGGGCGCCTTTTCTTTTCTCCTCTTTCCGTTTGGTTTTCTCCTCTAACTTATTATTTCACCTCAGCACTTGATACATCAGGTAGGTTTTTCCCCAGCACTTCCTTGCTGGCTCTAAGGAATTGACTCAGACTCACGCCTTTTCATTTTGGGCAGTTGGCCTGTTGGATCAACTTGTTCTTTCTGCCTTTTCTTCTTTATTTTCAGCTCTGGCCCTCTGAAAAGGGAGGATAAAAGCAGCAGTGTAGAAGCAGCAGGTTATGCCTTTCTCGTTACGGAGATGTTTCTGTCTGATGAAGCCACTTGTTGCCTGTTCTGCCTGTGCTCCTGAAGCCCGTGCCACGTGCAGGGTGCTCACGCTCCATGCCTTTAGAGAAGGCCAAACACGCAGGTCCATCTGCCACCTGGTTACTTACTGGCTGCTGCGCTGAGCCTGACTTGGATCTCTGTGCTCCTTTCAAAGCCTGGCTTTATCTTCGGATTCGATGGCTTTACTCAATGATGAGAAGACTAGAAGAGTGCCTAAGAGGCAGATCTTGTAACTGTTCTGCTCTCAGGAGATCACAGTTGCCTTCTGCACCCTGAGTGGTTGACTCCAAGACCCCTGATTGCACAAAGAATAAAACAAGGAGGCTTTACTGGCGCTGCGTTCATTGCGTTTGGCTGCAACTCCATTCAGGCAAGTCTGAGTGAAAACCAGCTTATCAGTCTTGCTGACCTCTGCCACTGGACACTGGTCCCTTGACACTGCTGTCTGTCCAGAAGGCAGAAAGAATTTGTGCTTAGTCTGCACTGGGACAACGACTTGTAGCTTATAAGTAATTCCTAAACACAGTCAGGTTGGGCAAAACCCCGTTCTGCAGTTGGAAGGAGCCAAGGGATGTACAGCTCAGATGTTCCTACATACATGGGTCAAGCAAGGTGAAGGTAGGGCATGCCCACACCCGCCTTGGGACATGGTGGATGCACATGTGCCTCTCCCAGCACAGGTACGAGGAACTCTTATTTGAAGGCTGGGCCCAGTGTGGCAGCACGTTGAGAGATTTCCCAGCTGTCACTGTGCCCCTTTGTGTTTCTGAGCGATCATGGTAGAGAAGGATTGATGAAAAGCTCCCAACGTAAGGGAAAACTTGAAACGGTCATTTTGAGAACTTTAGAAGGTCATATTCCATTTCTAAATGTTGATGGATGCTTTTAGCATGCAGGTTTGGCTTAGGAGGAAAGGAGCCCTTGGATATGAACAAACTCTATAGTGTTTTCTCACCCCCTTCTTTGTTTGCAAAGGAATTTGGGTGTTGATGACCTGCCTCTGCCTGTAAAATACTTGAAAGCAAGTACATTCTGTGTCGTAAGATGTTATATTCCTACTGTAGTGTCGTTGCACATTGCTGTCCTCTGGGACAGGGAGCCTTCTGGGGAGCTGCCGGCTGCCCTCGGCAGCTGGAGGGAATGCTGCTGTTCCATGGTCTGTAACGCCGTCCCTTCGTTACGCTTCCAGCCATTCAGTGGTATCGGAGTTGGCGTAAGTGCAGAGGCTGAATTCGCAATATGCTCGTGTGAGGAGTCAGAAATAATTAATAAAGATAGTAGTTTTGGGGTTATGTTTTGGGTTTGTTTTGTTTTTCTGTCTGGTTTGTTGTTCTAACCTGGAGAGGAGCAGCCTTAAAATGTACAAAAACTTTGTGGTCTCCTCCCAGGTGAGGGCAGGCTATTTCCTAATTCTGTTCTTTTCTCATGATAGTTGAGAACAGGAGGTGGTTTGTGGTTACTTAGTTGCTTGATGCTTCCTACTTAATTGGATTTTGCCATCTTAACTCAGAGCAACTTTCACTTCTTCATTGCATGACACAGGTCTTTGGTGTTTGGCAAGAGGGACACACTGCAGGCGA